GTGATTTATTACTATTACTGAAGGTCCGCGGCTCCAAACCATAGTAAAGGGACCTCTGGCTAATACGTCGGGTTCCGTGTCGGGGTCATAGCCAAAAAATAGCTTTACTTTGTTGTCTGGGTCAACTTTGCTTGCGAGAGACAGAGAGGCATTGAAAGGCTGCTCCAATGGAACTTATAGTTTTGGAGGAAAACACAAACACAATGTACAGTCGAGTCTTAATAGCTTACTTACAACTGGGCTCGTCAGGCACTCTTCTTGGCTGCAGTTGTTATTATTAGAGATGGCACGATACCACTTTTTTTTTATGTCTGATACCGATATCATAAATTTGGATATCTGCCGATACCAATATGAATCCGATATAGTGTTTTTAATCAACAAAACTGTTTTTTTTTGTTTTTTTTTTTAAATATCTTGCTGCATTTTGTATACCGTATTTTCACAACCATAAGGCGCACTTAAAAGTCTTAGATTTTCTTCAAAAAGTACGGCGCGCCCTATAGCGCAGTGCGCCCTGTGTGTTGTAATGAGGACGTAGTAGAGAACACCATGAGAACGCTAAAGGGTGAAGTGTGTGCGTTGACTTTATCGCACATACCTGTATAAAAGAACAGGTGTGTGCGTTATGCAGGACATCGTTGTTTTAACAACCCTGAAAATGGCAAAGAGACACGCTTACAAAGCACAGTTTAAACTGAAGGCCATCAGCTACGCGGAGGAACATGGAAATCGAGCAGCGGTGAGAGAATTTAAGATTAACGAATCGATGGTTCGCAAATGGAGGAAGCTAGAAAACAAGCTCCGGCAGGTCAAGAAAACGCAGCTGAGTTTCCGCGGACATAAGACGAGGTGGCCCGAGTTGGAGGAAAGACTCGAGCGGTGGATCATCGAGCAAAGAACAAGCGGGAGAAGTGTTTCGACGGTCACCATTCGGCTAAAAGCAGTTTCACTTTCACTTTTTATGAAACGGTGCCATTTTTCCATCCGGACCAGGACTACGGTAGCGCAGCAACTTCCAGCGGATTATAAGGAAAAGCCGGCCATCTTCCGCTCCTACTGCAGCAAACACATCGGTGACAAACACATCCAGCGATGGATGACCGATGGAGACCACAGTTTCACCAAGAGTGGAAGGCAGCGCCCGGCGAGTTACGCCACAATTTGCCAATGGATTGTAGATGCTTGGGCTAACATGTCTGCTGGCACTGTTGTTCGAGCTTTCGCAAAAGCCGGCATCATTTCCGAGGAACCGCACGGCACGGAAAGTGACTCTGACAGTGAAGAAAGTGAACCTGGGCCCTATTTCAGGAAGCCGGTTTAGAAAACTCAGAGTGAAAAACGATACTCAGGGTTGAGTAACCCCGAACTGTCCAACTCGGAATATTCGGTTTCAGAAAGGCTGATAACAATTAGTTCAATCAACGCGGAGTTGCTTTAACCCCAAGTTAAGCGCGCGCACGAGGATACATAAAGCCCTGATTAGTGGAGCACAGATTAAGCGAGTCACCATGGAGACGGAGGGAAAGAAGGCGCGGTCAATGTATTTTACAGCGCTTGAGGCCGAAATTCTGATGGCAGTATAGGGCTTTGGAGCGTGATGTCACGGGGGTGGGCGATAACATGCAAATTTTGCGGAAAAAAAGTAACACAGCCTCAGCTGCAAAAGAAAGGGAGCATGCATGGCAAAACATAGCCGACAGAGTCAATGCGTGAGTGTTAATTTAAACATTGATCTAGGGATTTCCACCCATTTAACACGTTATTTTATTATATTTTATTTTATGTTTTATTTCATACATTTTATTTTGTGACGTGATGTGAGCGCAGGTGCAACCCAACAGGCCCCAAACGTTCCTGGCAGCAAGTAAAAATGAAATATAAAAATATAGTCCAAACAGGTAAGGTGTAATTGTATTATGAGCCATAGTGCTTGGTCTGTTTGTCCGATGTAAATCGATTGCAGTTAGAGGCTACATTAATTTCCCCTCTGTAAGCACTTATTGAAATTATCTGAGCACATTACAAGTACATATTTGCTTACTCTGTATGCTCAAATGTGACCCGTTATAGCCAACAGGAAAAAAGCGGAGGCCTGAAAAACAGGTGGGGGTCCTCCACCACCACCACTCACAGAGGCTGAGCAGTTGGCTTCCACATTTGTGATAATGTTGGCAGCATCACATATGATCTTCACAGTGCAGAGAACACAAATTAGCATCCATTACTATAATGAAATAATTTGTTAGTTTGAAATGCTACAGGGAACTATGTACCTGTACATTAATGCTGTTGAAAGACTTCCTGTTCACATAGTCTCCTTCATTTACTGAAGGAGCAATGATTGGAATGTGAGTGCCATCTATACAGCCAATCACGCCTGGGAACCGTGAGAATAAATGTAAAATTTAAGTAGTAGTTCAAATATCACCACATCATGAATTAAGTTTTGTTCATCCTGATACCTGCAATTTTGTGGCATCCCTCTTTGATAAATCTTGTGGGTCTATGACCGGGGAACACCACAAACGAGTACAGGAGACGTTTCAGTGCAACTGTAACATTCCTGACTGCCCGACAGACGGTAGCCTTGGAAACGTGCTCAGCGTCACCAATATTATACAGAAAGCTCCCGTTTGCAAAAAACCGAAGTGCAATACAAATAATATTTACAGAACTGAGAAGATGTCCGCGATGTGTCACATGAGCAATATTAGTCCTGAGGATGTTATTCAAATAAATTATAGATTGTGCTGAAAAAGGGTAACGTTCACACAGGAAATCATCAGGAAATGATAAAATGTCCGAACGCGCTCTAATCACTCTCTCCCGGCGGAGAGCTCTGCAGAGAATTTGGGCTTCAACATCTACTGGCTCTTCAAGGAAGGGGCACGCCATGTCTGACACTTCCTACAGTCAGGTTTCCGACAAAGAGGCGGAGAAAGTCAGGGTTAGTTGAAGTAAACCTGCTAGGGGCAGGTTAGCTTCACGGAGTGTGTTGTCATAGTAACTCACTCAGAATTAATCTAAACTGGCTTTGTGAAACCGAAAACCCAGAGTTTTCGTTAACCCAGGGTATACTTACTCAGAGTTTGCTCTAAACCGGCTTCCTGAAATAGGGCCCTGGCATGTTTGATGGAGATTTAGCGCAGCTGTTCAATTCAGACACAGAGGATGAGGACTTCGATGGGTTTGATTGATGATAAAAATGTGAGTACCAAACTTTGTTTTGCTACTGCTTTATTTTTAAATACGCACACTTGTATGCTTGTGTGTTGTTGATGATGACGATTACTGGTAATAAAAATGTGAGTAAGGTACCGAACTCAGGTTTGCTCCCGCTTTATTTTTAAATACGCATACAGTACTTGTATGCGCCCTATGATCCAGTGCGCCTTATGTGTGTGTTAAATACAGTAATGGCACACATAATTGAGACTGCGCCTTTTAGCACAGTGCGTCTTATGGTCGTGAAAATACGGTAAGTTCATACTCAAGTTTAAAACAACAACTACACTAAAGCTATTCTGTTATACCCGTATGCCAAAAAAAAAAAAAAAAAAAATTTCATAGTTCAGCAACACTGATCAATCTAATAAACTTAAACCTACACCATCCTCCCTATTCTGGTATTTTAAAGAGTACTTAGCATAAATATTAAGCAACCTAACTAATAGGGTTCCAAATCCCAGCAACAACAAAAATGACTAAATAAAAAAATAGGGAACCACCCTCCACCTCATGATGCTTAATCGACGTAATCAACCTTAATTTGATGCAGTGTGGAAAAAAAAAAAGCACAGAAATCAATTATTTTTCAAGAAATATTAAATAGATTCAACATCTTTCTTCAACAAAATTGCAGACTGCACAGATGGTACCTTCCCAAAGGAAAATGTACTATAGCTTACTAGGGTATATATATTAGACTTAATAGTTACTATATACAGTAATTGACTTCTATTCATTTTACATCAAATTAAAACTTTGGGTGTCAGATAATTATTTATTAAAAGCTAGACATTTTAAATGAGAATAAGAAAGAAAAGTATGTCTTTGTGCCCCCTTTTCCCTGTTAATGCCCTATCAGCCCCCCTGGCTAAACTTTGCTAGATCCGCCCCTGCACAGTTACCAGCCGTCAGCTACGTAGAAAAAGATCCTGGTGTAAAAAGTAATATTAAATAAATTCTAACAACAGCTGATCAAGCTTAAACGTGCTGCTGTTGTTCAGCCGCTGGTTTCCTCTTTCTGGTGCAAAGTGGGCCAAAAACAAACAAGAGAGACGGACTCGCAACAGAAAAGCCGATCAGCTGATCATTAAGCAGTTTCATGATTGAAGTAGCGGCAAGAAGAGGCAGTCGCTTGTTAAGCTTAACGCAGGAATGCTTTACAAACATTCAGAGATGGACTTACACACTTGCTTTACTTCTCTCTGGGATAACTCTGTCGGAGATGAAATGCCGGGTTGCTAGCGAAGCTCCAAATGCTATCCAGACCACCGACAGGTCCCGCATGCCACAGCCGCTCTATCACGTGATGCATACTGCTCCGACGTGCTAACATTCTGAGGTAAGTTACGGCGTGTTGCAAGTTTTGTGAGGTGTTTTTGTGATATTTAATGGATCGGATTACTTTTTTTATTTTTCTCCGATATCCGATCCAGTAATTTAGGTCAGTATCGGACCGATACCGATACGTAATATCGGATCGGTCCATCTCTAATCTGTAGTGGAATACATTTTAAAAGTGACCTTCCCAACACTGTTTGTGAGTTGTCACGCTCACAAGATTTTCACAAAACCTGACCGCTGACATGACTGTACTGAATCCTAAATCATTTCAAAACACAAATAAAATCTCAAAGACACTCAGTATTTGAACGCATCTCAGCATTTAGTAAAACTGAAGTAAATTTGCATATACATACTGTGCACAGTGGCTTTACCAATAACTCTGTATGACAGACAGTACAAAAGACAGGACAGACACACAAAAAGGATAGTAATCACAATAAACATTTAATATAAAATTTAATGGAAAAGAAAAAAGGGAATGCTCAGACATCCAGTCATCCTTTGATCTCAGATTATCAGAAACCCTATAAAAACATTTCTGGAAGAACCTGTTACAACATGTTATAGTTACACCAAAATCTCTGTGGGAGGAGAATACTATGAAAAACAATGTGCTGCCGATACTGCAGTACCATTATTTGATATGATAAGAGACTTTAAGGCATGTATGACACTTGACTTTGGTTACTATGACTGGTTATTCTGCCAACAGAAAAAAATACAGTTTGACCGTCCATAATGCCTGGGCCACGTGATGACACGTTATCATTTATGAACATATGCATTATGCATTATTATCAACATATACACACACACACACACACACACACACACACACACACACACACACACACACACACACACACACACACGCATTGACATGACATCATCAAATTTCAATGCTGTTCCATTCACTGATTTTCTATGTTGATAATTTCGTACATTAAAAACATTTCTGCCCTTTAAAATAAAATTTGAACAGTCAAATATCTCTACATGATTCTCTTAGCTGGTCTAAGCAGCTGCAGTCAGTCAGCAGTGGGAACATTTTTCCACTCATGCGGAAACGCTCCCTCCTACACAGAACACAGAGACACTGAAGACCCATACCACACTTCAAAACCAGGATAAAGAGGTTCGGTGAATGTGGTGTTGAAGGTGTGGAGGTGGACGAGTTTGTCAGAGGAGACTCTGTAGAAGGACAGAGTGCCAGCAGGACAGTCCACATACACTGCTACTCTGTTAGAGACGGAGGAGGGTAGGGCCAAATCTACGTCCTTCCTAAAGTTGTTGTGACAAGCACGGTAACCATCTTCACAACAGTTCAGACTCCAAGACTGATCGTTGGAGCCAAGCTTGCAGTCATCGCTGTCTCCTCTCCTTTGAATTTGTCCGTAAGTCACTGCGACGTCAATCACTCCTCTACACTCGATCTCCCAGTAACAGCGACCTGTAAGCTCATTTTTGCAGAGAAGCTGATTCCAGTAGTCAAATCTGCCTGGATGATCAGGATATGGCTGCACCGCTCTCACATGTGTCACCCTCCTGTTGTTGTCAGACAGTTTGAGGTTTCTGTGCGCTGTATTTGGGTCCAGTTCAAGTTCGCAGAAGTCTAACAGAGAAAGTACAATGTAAAAGCAAAGACATTACAATAGTAGTTTATAGATCTTAATTCTTGCACAGTCAAGCACGAATAGAAGATCAGTTCCACAATCGGTGCCCCTTCAGAGTGCCAGCAGAATGAAAACCTTTGAGAGTAAGCTGAATTATCTAATCAGCTTCTCACTTGCATCTTAAGTGATTTAGGAATTTGAATTTAATAAGAGATGAATAAAAAGTGCAAACTTACATTTTTGCAGTGCAAACCTTAACACCTGCTCTGTGCTGTGGTCCACTCTGTAGATAAGTATAGTGACAGCGACATACAATTATCAAGCACAATACATTAGTCATGAATGCAAAGAATTCAAATTTCCTGATATGAGACACTGTTTTAGATCAAATTGCTATTTTACTGATGGGGGCGAACAAGTTACTTTTGTTGGTGATGTCAAATTGTAAACCACAAAAGTGTTTTAAGAATCTAAGAAGTGCAAAAGAATCTGACTTTGATTTAAAAAAAACAAACAAAAGTGCATAAAAATGTTGGTCTCAATAGTTTCATCCTATAAAATGTGAAAGCCAAAAAATAACCTTTGAAAATGCGTTCGAGTTCAATGTTTTTATGAGTCACTTGCTAACAAAAGAATTAGCATAGTATGCTACTATACTGTATCATTAATGAAAACAGCAATTGGTTTAGAGTATAATTTAAAAATGTTAATTTATATTTCCATTTTCTACCTCTTTAGTTGTTTCGGATACTCCATACGTCTATCAACGTGCTGAGATTTATTAGTTTTCACCACTGGCAGCAGCCTCAGAAGAGCCTCCTCAGTAACTGAGTATTTCTTTGAGTCAAACACATCCTGATCTTCTTCTGATGACAGTAAGATGAAGACCAGAGCTGACCACTGAGAGGGAGACAGCTCATCTTTGGAGAGACTTCCTGAAATCAGGGACTGTTGGATCTCCTCCACCAGAGAACGATCATTCAGCTCGTTGAGACAGTGGAACAGATTAATACATTTCCCTGCAGACAGTTTCTTGCGGAGTTTCTTCTTGATGTACTGGACTGTTTCCTGATTGGTCTCTGAGCTACTTCCTGTCTGTGTCAGCAGGCCTTGTAAGAGACTCTGATTGGTCTGCAGGGAAAGACCCAGGAGAAACCGCAGGAACAAGTCCAGGTGTCCATTTGGACTCTTTAGGGCTTTGTCCACAGCACTCTCATGGAGATGTTTGAGTTTAGATTTGGGTCTTACTTTAGACAACAGAGATGATGTTTGTTCTTCTTCTAACAGATCAACTCCAGAGTTGATGAAGGTCAGATGGACATGAAGAGCAGCCAGAAACTCCTGAACATTCAGATGGATGAAGCAGAACACCTTGTCCTGGTACAGTCCTCTCTCCTCTTTAAAGATCTGTGTGAACACTCCTGAGTACACTGAGGCTGCTGTGATATTGATGCCACACTCTTTCAGGTCTGATTCATAGAAGATCAGGTTTCCTTTCTGCAGCTGATCAAAAGCCAGTTTTCCCAGAGACTTGATCAGCTTCCTGCTCTCTAGACTCCAGGATTGATTTGTCTTAGCTCCTCCATCATACTTGACCTTCTTCACTTTGGACTGAACCACCAGGAAGTGGATGTACATCTCAGTCAGGGTCTTGGGCAACTCACCTTCCTCACTGGTTTTCAGCACATCCTCAAGAACTGTAGCAGTGATCCAGCAGAAGACTGGGATGTGGCACATGATGTGGAGGCTTCGTGATGTCTTTATGTGGGAGATGATCATGCTGGATTTTTCTTCATCTCTGAATCTCTTCCTAAAGTACTCCTCCTTCTGTGGGTCAGTGAATCCTCTGACCTCTGTTACCATGTCAACACAGTCAGAAGGGATCTGATTGGCTGCTACAGGTCGTGTGGTTATCCAGAGGCAAGCAGAAGGAAGCAGTTTCCCCCTGATGAGGTTTATCAGCAGCACATCCACTGAGGTGGACTCTGTAACATCAGTCAAAATTGTAGTGTTGTGGAAGTCCAGAGGAAGTCGACACTCATCCAGACCATCAAAGATGAACACAACCTGGAAGTCTTCAAAGCTGCAGATTCCTGCTTCTTTGGTTTCAGTAAAGAAGTGATGAACAAGTTCCACCAAGCTGAACTTTTTCTCTTTCAGCACATTCAGCTCTCTGAAAGTGAATGGAAACATGAACTGGATGTCCTGGTTGGCTTTGTCTTCAGCCCAGTCCAGAGTGAACTTCTGTGTTAGGACTGTTTTCCCAATGCCAGCCACTCCCTTTGTCAGCACTGTTCTGATTGGCTTGTCTTTAACAGGTGAGGCTTTAAAGATGTCTTCTTGTCTGATTGTTGCTTCTGGTCTGTCTGGTTTCCTGGATGCTGTTTCAATCTGTCTGGCCTCATGTTCATCATTGACCTCTGAAGTCCCTCCCTCTGTGATGTAGAGCTCTGTGTAGATCTGATTACAAAAATTTGGGTTTCCTGCTTTAGTGATCCCTTCAAACATGCACTGGATGTTTTTCTGTAGATAAACTTTCAGTTTACGTTGGCACTCTGCAGCATGGGTTCCTAAAGAAACATACAAAAACTATGATTACTATCCAGGCAGTTCTACGGAAGCAAAACATGATCCGAAAAATGTAAGGAACGAGTGGAGCGGAACAAAAAAAATCACTAGGATAAAGGTGACAGACAATGAGTGGGCAGCCTGTAGACAACAAAAAGATAAATAATTTCAACAGGTTTATTTCTCGACTTTTATTTCTGAAGTCTTCTCCACCACCACAACACCTTTCACACATTCGCACTACTAGTCTTCTGTCATCAAGGGAATCCTGACATCTGAGTGTGATGTAGTCAGACTCGAACGTCAAGGAAGGTGGTAAGGAAGCAGACTCAGCAGACATTTAGAGAATTTACAGTGAACTCCATCATACGTGAAACTTAATTAACTTAATTACCAAAACTCAAAAGTACATGAGTGCAATAACACAGCTCACCTCTCCTCCCTCATCTGAAGCTCCTCACACTTCTGATTAGCACATTTACACAACTAAACGGCTCTATTTACAAAAAACAAAACAAAAAAACAAATTCAAAAACCCCTGCAGACCTAGAAAGAAGCAAAAGGAAGCATTTCTATGGTAGAAGGATTCCTCCCCCCCCCCCCCCCCCGTTTCCACCTGTTGATGTCATGTCTGACATTATCAGCACTTTAAAATCAGGAAATGCTAGGGGGGCCTTTCCACACACCTGACCTACATAAAGACTGAAAACAAAGAACGAAGTATGAAAAAAAATGACTTAATCTGCAGCATAATAGAGTATAAAGAAACATGTAACTGAGTATTTGTCTTAATTTGCAGAAAGTTTGTTTTTCCATCCACAGAATGCGTACACAAACAAACCCAGGATAGTCAGTGCAGCAAAGTTACTTTGACAAATAGCAAATCATAGCAAATAAATAGAGAGACAGAATAAGGTGCATAATATGCAAAAAAGAAAAAAAAAGTCAACACATCTGGGACAAGTGGAGAGCATTACAACTGCTTATCCCTTTGTCACACTGAGAAACATCCCCTGCTGGACTGTGATGTCAGTTTTAAGGTCCTGAGGACTTGTGCTGCCCAGCTGTCACATTTACAGCTGGATTGACTCCAGTCCAGTAAAAGTCTCACTATGCTTGTCAAAAGCATAGTGAGACTCCAGTGTTAGTGAAAACAACACGCTTAGTTCCTTTAGCAAAGAAAATCACACTATCACCAGTGGAAGCTGGTGACACCAGCAGATTAAATAAACTGACCATGAAGGCTGGCTCTATAATAGGTTGCAAACTGGACCTCCTCTCCACCAGAGCTGGAGGTCACCGAACAAACTTTTATGGGTGGTGTATTTCTTATCTTATTTTAAATTATCTTACTGGTTTGTAGACAGTCGGCCAGCTCCTCCTGCTTCATTCTCCTCAGGAAGTGTTGTGTGATCTTTAGAAATGGCTCTCTGCTGCTCTTCTGCTCTTCAGCTGTACCACCCAGGCCCTCATCTTCACTCTGATCAAGTCCACCGTCTCTGTAATCTGGATTTAGGACCTCCTGGAACCTCTTCAGCTCGGTCTTCACAAATCTCATAATGTTCTCCTCAAGTTGCTAGAAAGAAATGTTAGCTTCTGTTAAACACAACACCACATTTAGTATATCTAACTGTCTGTGAAGTGCTCAGTGCAGAAAAAGCACCAACTCAGTCACGGTCACTGTCTTTGAGATATTTTTGTCATTACTTGTACCATATAAGTAATGACAAACCTGGAAAGAGTACAACATTTCAAGCCCCAGCTGGCTCTGATGAAAACAGAAACATGAACTTTGGACTAAACTAAATTTAAGAGAGCAGAGAGCAGTGTTGTTCCCAAACAGCAGGAGCTGTGATGAAAAAGATTGTAGGTAGATTGATTGATAGTAGTATTAAGCAGAAACACTGCAGTATTTCTCCATGGTGATATGTGTTTTCTGTGCTTACATACCATAAATATGTCCTGCAGAGCTGTTTGGTGCCCACTATCAGGCTGGTGATGGGGAACCTTTAAATTCTGCTGCTGCTCGTCTCTGTGGAAATGTCAGAAAAAACAGGATACATTTCATACACCGTATATTCTAAAAATATCAAATGATAATCAAATTTTCATCCTTACGTTGAGCCTTTAAATTTAATTTCACGGTTGATGGAGCCACTGGATGTCACAGTCAGACATGTGGTTACACAAGGATCAAATGTCTGCTTTTTATTTGGTCTTGAAACATAAAATAGACACATTATAAGCAGAGGTTTATAGAAGCTTCTAGAAACGACAGAAAGAAATGTAGTTTTCAGTCAAAGCTCACGTTTTGTCAGAGAATGGCATCTGAGAGATGGGAGTGTAAATGTTCATGACCCGTTCTCTATTCAGGGATTCAGACACCCAACCCGGTTCAGGATCAGCTCCAGGTCCGGCAGAGTCTGGTCCAACCTGCTGCTTTACCCTTAAATGCAACACATATAGTGCTCAGAGCACGAATCGTGACGATGAAGATTCAGTTCCAACAGTTACTTCAAAGTGCTTAATGTTGTACAGGAAAGATGCTGGAATATTTTAAACAAACTCCAGCACTTATTGACAGTGAATCCAAGCTGGTTCATTAAGAAGCTGCAGCTCTGCTTCCTGGTCTCAATTAGGAAGCAGTTTGGGGGGTTTGATAAATTTGACCAGATTTCTAGAAATGAGAGCTGCTCCATCCAAAGTGGGATGGATGCCGTCTCTCCTAATAAGACCAGGTTTCCTTCAGAAAGTTTCCCAACTATCTAGACAGCCAGCAATTTAAGGAGAACATGCAGCTTCATATGTCACAGGGGACCAGAGAAAACTACAGAGTCCGACATTGTTCTGGGAAAGTTACACACTGATTCAATATTGATTTTGTGATGGGAGAGCTGAGCTGTGACCTGGAGAAGAGTCCTGACAGTTAGAGACGGTCCTCTCACCTCTGAGGTTTGATCTGGCTCTCATGTTCCCCACACAGAGTGGATGCAGAGTTAGGGACTCCCTCCTTTCTGTGCTCACACTGATCCACAGAAGAGAACACACCTTCACACAGACACAACAACACGCTCAGTCAGCACAACAACATTTATACATTTATACTTGCTGTGTATACCAAGACTAGCTGCAGAAAATGGAAGTCATATGATATATCATTTCTTTCTTAAGAATGGTGTCTGCTCTCGTGTGGAGCAGCAGACAAGTCAGCTGCACGACAGAATAAAGAAAATCCTCACCACCCAGATTCAGGTCCACGTCCATTACAGAGTTGTTCTATCTTCACCTTTAGAGGAAACACAGAGAGAAGCTGCTTTAACCCAAGGGCTCTGTTACATTCTCATAATCACCATCAGAGCCGGTCAGACTGCAGGTCAGTGAAACCTTCATACTACAAAGAGCAGAGCCCAGCTGCTTCAGTAGGAGCTTAATTTGTTCAAACAGTGATGTCATCATGGTTTAAGGTGCAGTAATACTAAAAGAAACCTTTTTTTTTGTTTTTCCATCAGTGCATTTTGAATTATGAGGTTGTGTTCTTCATAACTTCTGTCAGGAAAAGAAAACATCCAAATAACATTTGTAGATGATTTTGTTGCTACAGTTTGTTTATGATGAGGATTTTCTAAAACAATTAAGTTTGCTGAAGATTTTTAGAGCGCAGTCTTCATGTATCATTCAGCCTGGTTTATAGAAGACATGGTGAAAACTAATGAATTTTCTCTCTTTATGGTATTTATGATTTAATAAAAATGCTAAAAAGATAACTTTATAAAAAGCGTTGATTCAAATTTATCATCAACATGAAACATGAAGCATTTCTCACATGGCAACAAGTCCATGGAAATGTTCAGAGTTTTATAAAACACTTCAGATATCTGCATAAAAACTTTATGAACCTGAACATGAACACATTTGATTAAACATTAAAATCCTTCCTGCTGAGATTAATCATTTTATATTCAATGGTCCTGTTTGATTCTTTTCTCCTGGCTGCAGGTGAGTCATGATTTGTTAATCAGTGATAAATGTTAACAATATTTTTGTAGCTCCATGTAAAGAACTTTGAACCTTGCTGTTTCTCAGTAACACCACCTGCCAGGTCAAAGTTAAAGTCTCCCAATCGTTAACAATAAACATCTCACTTTGTGTAACTTTGCTCAGTTTGGTGTTAAAATACTAAAAATGTTTGAACTGATCAAATGATCATAATGAACACCGAACAAAATAAGTCTGCAGGTTGATTTTGTTAGGTTTTGTGTTCAGAGTTAAAGTACGTTACCTTCTGATGGAGAAAATAATCTGCATGAAGCTTAAGTGAATCCACAGCTTCAACGGGAAACATGCAGAGAGCAGGAGATTCACACACAGTCTCAGCTCTCTGGATTTATCTACAAACTGAAGTCTTCCTTAAGGAAACCTGAAAACTGCACCATGACCCTTGGAATAAAGAGCAGAAGTCACACAAGTACACACAGCACGAGTCCTTATCAGCTGCATCATAAAGTTCTGATAACACAAAAAAAAAGAGCAAAGAAGGCTTTTATTAAGCAACACACACACACACACACACACACCTCAGTCTGAAAACAACGCAGCATATACTGAAAACATTCACTAACCATCACATCATGATGAGTCCATAAACCCACTAGAAAAACCAGCCATTAGAACGATGTCAGGCTCAAGCCACTTCTGCAATACCTTCACTTGTTATGTGTTGAGCATGAACAAAATTACAATACGTCATGGGTCTCTGTGGTCTCAGTGTAGTTCTGGCTGCAGTCAGTAGATGGCACTGCTACACAACCTCTACACCATTACCTACAGGCAGCACTGCAGGACTAAACTCAAATAAAAGCAGTGAAACTGGAAACATTTCTTTATGAGACTGGAAACACAAACTGGCTACAAACCAGCTCATATCCACCCATCCATCCATCCATATACCTATCATCTATCATCCATCCATCCATCCGTTCTACCACGCATTATCCATCCATAGACTGATCCATTGATTTGTTATTTGAAGTCATGGATGCAGCAGTCTGCACAGAGGTGCAAAGACTCCCACATCTCCCTGAAGCATTGAGGTATTGCCAAGGCAGCAGAGAAGAATACGCTTATCAGTCTCAGGCTGTCATGTCCCAAGTGAAAATGGCAGAAACGCTTTAGTTATGGGGGACTATGAAGACCTTTCATAGTCTCGTAGTTCTTTTATATTTAACTTCATGAAAATGTGAAACAAGTGTTCAGTAATCAGTACTTAAAAAGTCAGCGGTGGTGTTCACAGGTTGCTTTTAATTGTTGAAGTAGTTAAACATATCTACAAAGTAAATGTCCTTATTTGATGCTTTACATTATGAATGTTTGGCATTCATGACATCATAAAAACATTATTTCACAGACGGTTCTGTTCCAAGCTTCATGTTACAGAAACATTAATAACAGGATTAAATTTTATATGTTGTCTTGTGTCTGCCAAGACTGAGAGAAAATACCTGCTGCATTTTTGTATGATAAGAGCAGCGTAATGTGTTCTTAATTACGTGAGATCCATCTCTGTTTATCTCAGCAGGTGTAAGAAGGTCCTGTGTGAGTAATCAAAGATGTTTTACTGCCTCATTCGGGAGAAAAACACCTGAAACTGTTTCAGAATCAGAATCAGAATCAGAATACTTTATTGATCCCTGGGGGAAATTATTTTTTGTTACAGTGCTCCATTTTAAACCAACATTAAGACAAGACAGACAATACGCTAACTAAGAATAGTACAATATATACATATATATACATACATACATACATAAGTCACTTATAAATAAATAGTTGGAAAAGAAACATGTGTAGCTGTAGCAGCAAACAGTGTGTTAAGTGGATGCGTTGTACAGGGAGATGGCCACAGGCAGGAATGATTTCCTGTGTCGTTCAGTGGTGCTTTTCGGTAATCTCAGTCTCTCACTGAACGAGCTCCTGTGACTGACCAACATGTCATGGAGTGGGTGGGAGGTGTTATCCAACATTGTCTTTATCTTGGACAGCATCCGCCTCTCCGCATCATTCAACAGTTTGAGCTTAAGAAGAGCAGGCTTTCATTTTTACAGTGTTGAGAGAGTATAGCAGGAAAAAAGCTCAAACATCAATCATCATCAGAGAGTTAATGGCCTTTAAATAACCAAGGCTTCAGACAGGTGATTAAAACCTCCCTGTGATTGGTCAACCATCATGACATTCTAGTATCTCCTACCTGTCAGTCAAAGCACCCACACCCTGAATGCTAACTTAAGGTTGTTATGAAGGAGTAAGTTAGCTCTTAAAATGAACACTTAAAAATAGATTTTAATTCCACAAGAAATTCAATTGAATACTCTTTGAAAAGTCGTGTTGGTCAAACATTAACAGAAAAGCCAGAGAAACAGCGGCTCCTAGAGCTGCTTATTAATTACACGATTATGTGATTGGATTCTAACTTTTGGCTTTACTTACAGCCCCTTTAATGATCACTGGTTAATTAGCATACTCTGTACACAGACTCTGCAAAAGTCTTTATGCTTTAATAGCCCCAATTTAAACAAGAAGTTCTGGTTCTCCATTAAAACCTCCTCCACATGTTGCCTGGGACATTAAACACATGAACATAATCATAAACTGTAGTGAAGCAGCATGTGAGGCTGGGAAAGAATGTCTCGGACTCCCGGACCATCAGCACCGGCTCCCCTCAGGGCTGTGTTCTTTCTCCCCTGCTCGTCTCCCTGTATACTAACTGCTGCACCTCCACCCACCAGTCTGTCAAGCTAATCAAGTTTGCAGATGACACCACCGTTATTGGGCTCATCTCGGACGGGGATGAGTCTGCCTACAGGAGGGAGGTTGAACGTCTGGTGTCCTGGTGCAGCCACAACAACCTGGTGCTGAATGCCCAGAAGACAGTGGAGATTATTGTGGACTTCAGGAAGCACACAGCTCCACTCCCCCCCATCATCCTGACTGACACCCCCATCACCTCTGTGGACTCATTCTGCTTCCTGGGTACCACCATCACCCAGGACCTGAAGTGGGAGCCCACCATCACCTCCGTCATAAAGAAAGCCCAGCAGAGGATGTACTTCCTGAGGCAGCTGAAGAAATTCAACCTGCCAACACGGACGATGATGCAGTTCTACACTGCAATCATCGAGTCCATCCTCACCTCCTCCATCACCGTGTGGTACGCTGGAGCCACTATCAGGGACAAACAGAGACTGCAGCGTGTTGTGCGCTCTGCTGAGAAGGTGATTGGCTGCAGACTCCCATCTCTGCAGGACCTGTACACCTCCAGGACACTGGGGCGTGCAGCTCAGATCTCAGCTGACCCTTCTCACCCTGGACACAGTCTGTTTGACCTGCTCCCCTCAGGCAGGAGGCTCCGGTCCATTCGCACCAGAACCTCTCGCCATAAGAACAGTTTCTTCCCCTCTGCTGTTGGACACATGAACAATAACCGTATGACTGTTCCCACCACTAACACATGACCCTACGCTGTGTTCACTGCATCATTCCATGTTTGGCACTGATCACCACCTGCACTCATGTATATATCATGTATATATCTATCTATCTACTTAGCACTTTTAATTCTTATTCTCATTTTTATTTTCATGTCCATTTAAGCTTAATTTATAACAGTATTTATAACAGTATGTTTGCACTGAAGCACCGCAGCAATCTCCTAATGTTGTAAACCTGCTCAACATTTGGTAATAAAACCCTTTCTGATTCTGATTCTGATTCTGATTCTGAAAGTATACATGTGGTTGGAAAAGGTTTAACACAATGTGCTGTAGATGAAAAATGTTGTTAATCAGCCACATTTTTATGTCCAACACCAACATTTTTTATATTCTCCACCTGGCTGCTTCACCCGCTTAAAGTCAGAGGTTAGAGAAGGATTGCAGGTAATGAAAGATGAGTGAAGGGGAAGATGTATACATGGCCTACACCCACATCCATCACCTCAGCCTCCACACATTCACATTCCCCTGGACTCATACTACAAGGTTCACTTCCTGCTGCACTGACAGTAAAGAGACAGACTAATAACTCCTGTAAGATAAGATACAACAAGACCTGCTTTATTGCTCCTGAGAGGAAATTTGTCAGAAACGCACAAATAACAAACTGTTTCATACCTAATAAACTGATAAAAAGTACCTTAATAAACTTCTCATTGTTGCCTGTCAACATAAAATTCCTGGATTTAACTTTTAATATAAAATGATTGTTGTATT